TTTTTTTTTTTTTTTTTTTTTTTTTTTTTTTTTTTTTTTTTTTTTTTTTTTTTTTTCTTCAACAGGTTAAACAGAGATGATACACTTTTGAAACCTGTAAGATTAAATGAGCACCGTAGCAAGAAAATTTATAAAATTAATTGAAAGAAAAAAAAGTGTATTTTGCATTTTAAGTAGAAAAAGGCGAATATGGTCAGACATCACGTGAATTGTCTATGATTAAAGTCATAGTTGGTTTATTCTCTAGCAGAGAAATTAAGGGTTGTTTTTCAATATGGTAAGCAAAAAAAGTAAACATAAATATATAAGGTAAAAAAGAAATTATCACGAGGACGAAAATATAGGAAGGGGTTGTCTAGATGTGGGACACAAGTCAAAACGGATAAGAGCTGGGCAGTGAGCCAGCATTTTAGAAAAGGGAAGAGGAGGGGGGGGAGTATCAGAAACTGATAATGAAATGTAGGTTGAAACGTCCAGTTTCAACTGCATGGCTCTGTTGCGATACATCCTGCTGTCTTCCTCTCTCTCGCTCATTTTGTGCCTATCGGACACAATTTGTGTGATTGTCGCTGTCCGGTGAAGCCTTAAATATTCAAGTACTTCAGTGCAGTCAACGATAAAGGGAGAAATAGACGAGGGTGGAGGGGGAGATTAGAGGAAACAGGGGAATGCTTTGATGATAAATTCACGCAACAACGTGGACAGTGACCACGGGTTACTAGGCGACTGCAAGTGACGCAAAGATAAACACATTGCAGAGGGTTGCAGTACATGCCTGTATCTACATTTCATTGATCATAGGACTTCTAATTTTATTGAGTATGGCGTTGGGTAGTGATAAATTGAGGTATATTTTTTTTTTAATGTGCGGAGCAGTGTGCATCTGTAGGACTTGCTGATCGTAGGGACTCTGTGTGTCAAGACAGAGGGGGAGTAACTGAGAAATTGATCGAGCGAATGAGAGACCATGTGTTCATTACATAGTAGTTAGATGGTACACATGTGTGTCCAAGTATCAGTAGGCCGTGGCTCGTCTCGTGAGTACAACTGAATGTGCTTTCAGTGAACGTCATATCGAACGCTAACAATACGACGACTATCGAGCTGATCGAGTCGCAGATGGAGAATCCCCTCATAGACGCCGACCATCAGGACCTCCACGCGCTCAAGCAGATACCCATACCGAATGTCCACCATCATCATCGCGTCGTTCATCACAAACAGAGGAATCAATCCCACGAGGATCTCGAAGGTATGTACACATCTGTTTGTTTACCCCATACTTATACTATAAACTATTGCTGTCTAGCTCTCACTGATATGATACTCGATTTACGCTTACGTATTTGATTTTATACTTAAATTTGTGAGACCATGTTTGATGTAACCACATTTATTTCATTCAAAAATCGTTTAAAAATATGTTAGTAAAAAATGTACTGAGCAAGAACTAAAAGCATGGGAAAAAACTGCTTTTCTTAAGTGTATTTTATACAAAAAGGTATTTAAGGACAGTACCAAAAACGATAAGGAGAATAGCGCTAATCCACAGAAAAAACGCTGTATCGCATTCAAAGTTGGGATCTCTCGGCACAGTTTGGCAGGCAGGAAGGAAGTGCGCTCAAACTGCGGATCTGCGAATTAAAGTTTGAAATCCGGTATGCCGAGAAATGATACGCGGATACTTTCTCGTACCGAGCAGTAGCAGTGGCAGCTGCTGGAAAGGGCCGTCTTGGCGCGCACGCAGGAAATGAGAGGCAAGAGCGAGTGAAAATTAAATTAAACTTTGTCCCATCACTGATGGTATTGCTACTATTGCTCGCATTTAATTCTACATCTTACTCTCCAAAGCTCGTGTACGACAACTTTTCGGTGCCGTATCTTTTTTAGGGAAAACGATTTCAAAGATCTTGCCGAACTCAGCATATACATGTGTTATACTTTTGCGTGTAAGTCTATATTAATCAGATATAAGAGCAATCCAATTTTATCAAGGAGTTTTATAAAAATTAATGGACGCGTTAAAAACTCAATGCATGTACTTAAGCATCACTATTATGAATTTCTTGCAAAATTAACATAACAATTTTAAAATACTATAGCATACAATTTTTGATTAGCCTTTTTAGTATTAGTCATAAGTAGTAATGTAGGGTTTTAAGTCAGACGGTCTCATAAACTGTACATTATAAATGACAAAATTTGATCATTATGAAAATGGACAAAAGTAAAATTTTTTTACATCACCACAAGTAGTAATAACCAATATTGTGTCAGACGTACTTTATAAAAGAAAGTAATTCGAGAACCTATAAATTTGCTTTACTGTCTTGCATAAAATAATTTTATTGTTTAATCTCACACTTCTGTGTATTAAAAAAAAAAAAAAAAAAAAAAAAAAAAAAAAAAAAAAAAAAAAAAAAAAAAAAAAAAAAAAAAAAAAAAAAAA